CCAAAGATTAAAACTAGACCTATATCTCTCACCATGCACTAAACTAAAATCAAAATGGATTAAAGATCTGAATATTAAAACAGAAACATTAAACTTGCTGGAAGATAGGTAGAACTCTTGAAGACATTGGCATAGGAAAAGACTTTATGAAAAAAACCTCAGTAGCACGGGAACTAGCACAAAGAATCAACAGCTGGGATCTCATCTTATTAAAAAGTTTCTGCACTGCAAGAGAAACCACCAGCAGAGCTAAGAGACAACCTACAACGTGGGAAAAATTTTTAGCAGCTGTACCTCAGACAGAGGACTACTATCTAGACTATATAAAGAATTGAAAAAAATTAGATCCCCCAAATTCAAAGGCCCAATTCAAAAATGGGCACCTGAAATGAACAGACATTTATCAGTCAAAAAAGTAAAAACAGCAAATAAATATATGAAAACATGTTCAACATCACTGGCCATTTGAAAGATGTAGATGAAAACAACACTGAGATTCCATGTCACCCCAGAAAGAATGGCTGCTATCAAGAAATCAACCAATAACAAATGTCGGCACGGGTGAGGGAGAAAGGAATCCTTCTCCATTGTTGGTGGGAGTGTAGGCTGATGCAACCACAGTGGAAATCAGTATGGACATACCTCAAAGAACTAGGACAAGAGGTCCCATTTGACTCAGCTATTCCCCTGCTGGGAATCTTCCCAAAAGAATTAAAAGAAGCATACCACAAGTGATATATGTGCACTCATGTTTATAGCGGCCCAGTTCATAATAGCTAAAGCTTGGAAACAGTCCAAATATCCATCAACTGGAAACTGGATAAAGAAGATGTGGGGTTTTTAATAAAATGGAGTACTACTCAGCCATAAAGAAAGAGAAACTAGAGACATTTATAGCTAAATGGGTGCATATTGAGGACATACTCTTAAGTGAAATACATAGGACACACATGTGTAAATACTTAATAGTTTCTCCAGTGTGAGAAACTTAAAGTGTAAATAAGAATTAAAATGATTAAAATGAATAATTGATAATTTGAAATAGGAAGAAAAGGTCCAAAGGGGTAGGGGAAGTGGGAGGGGAAGGGCAAAGGAAAGAAGATAAAGGAAAAATTATGAGAAGGAAAAAATGGAAACAAAATCTTTGTAAATAGGGAAGAGTAGAGGAGGTGAAGGGAGCACAAGGAAAGGGGAAAAAATAAGAACGAAGATCCACCATGTACAGGTACAAGTACCCAATGATAAATTTAAATGTATTGTATATCTAAAATATACCAATAAAAGAATTTAAGAAAAAAAAAGAAGAAGAAGAAAATGCATTCCCAAGCTTTCAGCTTGGAAATACACATCAGGCTACCTACAGCTCTGTTCCCTTTGGAAGGCTAGTGCATCTCTCCATGTCAAAAAAAAAAATGACTTTTTCAATATTCAGAATTCTTATAATGACACCGATGGCACCTGTTGGCTATTGGCAGGAGACTACATGGAAGCAAAGAATAAGTGCCATTTCAGCACCTTCTCTCTCCTTCCTACCCATGTTTCTGAGGGCCTCATCAAAGAAGACAGGGCAATTATTGGGTGAACGGTATTGGTACAAAAGGTCAGTACCATACAAGGCAGATCTTATAAACGTCTTCATTTTATCCAATACACCACTGTTCACATCTGATTTTTTGCAAATAAATTGTTCACATGCAGCCAAGAATCTGTTGTGTCTTATGTTCTGAAGTACTTTTTAAAAAATATCTGTTCACCAAAAATTCAGGCACAGTTCTCTCCTGTGAAGAGTCAGTGATGTGCAAAGAGCAAAACCCAAGAAAAGTCGCTAAATTAATTAATGATAGGTTTGGGATTTGAAATGACACATTCATGTTTTTCTTTGTCTTCAAAACCCTTTTCAATTTTTTTTCCCTCTTTTCCTCATTCCACTTCCTCTTTCAGTCTCCTCCTCTCCAGCAAAATTTCTCATGGACTATTTCTCTTAGATGCTGCTTATATAATAGCACAGATATGGTAAACATCTATTCATTTATAAAAGACTGAACTTCTGGTATACGCCATGCGCTGTGCCAGCAACTGAAAACATAAAGTTAAAAAATAGTCTTCATAGGGTTTATAATCTACTGTAGCAAAACTTGAAATTCCTGTTACTGCTACCTCTTCCCTCCATCTGTCCCTCTATCGCTTTGCTCCACATACATATTTATTATTCATCATCCTCTCCTGTCACATGTACACAGGATGGGGACTTAGCAACCAGTATAATTTTAATTGAGAGATTCAGGAGCTGTCAAAATCCTAAAAATATATGCTAAGGCTCCCCATTCACGGTCAATAACAAATAATAAAAGAGTTAAGATTAGCAAACAAACCAAAAGAGTTTCTTTTAAGAATGAGTTAACTATCAGCGTAGGTATAAATAGGATTAAGAAAAAAGTATACAAAACACCTATTCAGACCCCATAGAACCTGTGCTTCCACCAGCCCTATCAGTTGGGAGGGACAGGGAGTCACATTTATAGAAACACTGCAGTGTTCTAATTCTTCTCTCATCTATTATTGAATACCTTCCAGATCCCCTTGAGAGCTTCCTCCAAGCATTCCTGAATGCCCCCTGAAGATTTCCCACTGGTACTGATGAGTGAGGCTTTCTCGCTACCACTTCCTCCTCTCCTGCTCTGCCCTCAGCTCTGGCTCTGAGAGGCAGAGTCAGCAAGCCCCTTGATCTCTGTGAAGCTGGGTGAGTGTGCAATTTTACTGATGCTGCCTCTGATGGCATCTTTTGTCAATGTCTGCTGAAGTCATGCTGTGCTCATGTTGAGCGTCACTGAAGCTGCCAGATCTCCAATATGGCTGGTGCCCTCCCCTGCTGATTGCCCAGTGCCCTCAACAGAGCAGTGACATTCTAGTTGTCTGCTGAGTGGATAAAATAGCCGGCCTCACCAGTGTTGCTCTACACTAAATATATCATGTTAGTAATTCAGAATGCAGCAACATACACAAGACAAATTAGAAATAAAGTACTGGCTCATTTATATGAAAATCTCCAAAATTCTGGGCCTTTTGATAATTATGTCAGAGAGCAAGTTTAGGAAGCCAAAGTTGAGCTCTGACTTTGCATTCTAAACCTAGATCTCAGGCATGTGCACAAAGCCACACCAGGGTCTGCACACATCTCTCCTTACCACTGAGACAACTGGGCCCACCTTAACTGCCAAATTTCACTTGGTACAGAAAGCTTGGAGAAGGATACGGTGAAACCAATCATGACCTGGACCAGTGACTGGAAAGACTTTCCCAAGAAACAGCAAGAAATAGACCGAGAAAATGTACATGTGTAGCACACCAAGATATTCATTTCAGGTAGTTTGATTTGCTCATCTCCCTCCTACCTTAGTGCTGCTCTGACCTGGAGGATTCCTCACTGCACTTGAGCCACCAAGATACACTTCTGGTCTACCTACATGAGGACCAGTGAGGTATTAGGGAGCTTCCCCTACCAGGGATTCTTAATCTCATGTGTATTCTTTACAATGCTTATTAACTGAGACAAAGCAAAACAAGAAATCATAACAATGATCAAAAGAATTATCCCTACTATTCCTAAATCTAGACTCACCTTTTGAGTCTTGTCTATCTCACAAGACTTTCTTCAGAAGATAGGCAATGGCCCTTCCCAAGCTAAAGACAGAAGGAATAAACTTCATCGATCCTCAAAACCCATCATGGACCAAGACAGGAACTTTAGGAAAGAGGCACAAATATTTCTCCCTACAAGTTTCAGAAGAATAAACTCATGGGCCTTTATTGTCACTTGGATTCTCAAAGAAATTTAATTTTCAGTTTTGTTGGTAGTCTCTCTCTCTAAAACACAAGCCAACCCATGCAGACAATGTCTGAGGGTGACCTACACATGGAATCTAAAATCTCCCTCTCCCTGCCAATGTTTGGGGTTGAGCTGAACCAACATACATGATTCTTGAAGCAATCTCCCTTTCTTGGAAAATTCTTTCCCAAGATGGCTCTTATCATTCATACAAATGACTCCTGATGAGCCTACATTCCAGCCTTCCAGATAGTCCTCAATGTATCTTAATGTAGGATGAGCACAGCATTGACCTTTGTGTAAAATCAAGATCTGTCGGTAAACTAGCAGTGCTAACATTTCAGTTACCTATATTTACCTTTGTGTCCAACTCATCAAACTATATTGCCATAAGTGTAGACAGAGAGATAGCCAGCCAGATTTAAAAAAAAAAAAAAAATCCTGCCATAATGCAAATAACATTTAGGCCAAAAATTTTGTAAAAATGTAAAAAAAAAAAAAAAAAATTTCTGTCCACTTTTACTAAGAAATGTACTCTGAGGCAATTGTTAAAGTTCACATGACTGTCAATGTTTTTTGTGGGTATAATCTTAGATTCTAGACTGTTACCTTATGAAAATCAAGTTGTTCCTACCCACCCCGACACTTTGCGCTCTTTTCCTTCCCCCGCCCTTAACTTCTTCCTCTTCCTGGGCTGGGCCCTCGGCTTCTCTGCGCTCTCCTCCACAGCTCTGGGATTTCCGCCCACCTTCCACCTCACCTAGCCGCAGCACAGCTAGCGGGGTGTTTTTGCCCCTTCTGGTAGGAGTTGCTGAAGGTTAGACTCATGAGGGAATACAAGATAGTGGTGTTAGGGAGCGGAGGGTTTGGCAAATCTGTCCTTACTGTGCAGTTTGCCACTGAGACTTTCATTGAGAAATATGACCCCACCATTGAAGATTTCTGCCTCAAAGAGATCGAAGTGGACTCTTGCCCCTCCGTGCTGGAAATTCTGGACACTTCAGGAACTGAGCAGTTTGCCTCTATGAGAGATCTCTACATCAAAAACGGCCAAGGTTTCATCCTAGTTTACAGCATGGTTAATCAACAGTCTTTTCAGGATATCAAGCCAATGAGAGATCAGATTGTCAGAGTGAAGAGATATGAAAAAGTCCCACTTATCCTAGTAGGAAACAAAGTGGATCTGAAACCAGAAAGAGAGGTTATGTCTTTGGAAGGCAGAGCTCTGGCTCAAGAATGGGGCTGTCCTTTCATGCAGACATCGGCAAAAAGTAAATCAATGGTAGATGAAATTTTTGCTGAGATCGTCAGGCAAATGAACTATTCATCCCTGACCGAGAAGCAAGATCAGTGTTGTACAACTTGTGTTGTCCAGTAAAAAAGATAACTTCAATCATGGCCATACCATATCATGGCTCTGGAGAACTTGACAATCTGGGTTACAGAACTGAGCCTTGGTAAACCTGTCTGTTACCACACATCTAAATGCATAAGGTCTTTGGCCTTCAAGATCCAGTGACCTTACACAGGAATGCTTAGCATGTTTACCATACATTTAAAATCTGTTCTTTATCAATCAGTCCTTTTATAGCTTTCTAAGTTCTTATTGATGGTTAATGTGCAAGGATTAATTTTTAATATTTTAATTGATTTCTTTAATCAGTTTCTCACCTTGTATTTATTAAACACTCAAACGCAGTATTACCTATTCAATGCCTTTTAAAATAAAGTTATAATGGAGAAAAAAAATTGAGTCTTAAACAAATAGTTACTTCTGTATATTACCTCATACCAGTGCTTCATTGTAAAATCTTTTTCCTTTAAATGGTTGGTTAATATTTTGAGACTTTGTTTACATGTGGCAGTGTCGTAAAAAGAAACTAAAGATCACATTTTACCTGTATGGATGGAATATCCCTTTCTTCAAGTGCAGTGTGTGATGTTTTGTAATTAATATATTCTGAAAGTTACAAGTGATATTGGAGATTGACTGTATTTAGTTGACGAGTTAAGTATTTGATTCCATTAGGTTTTCACATGTGTTAATCTCATTTTGAGCATTGAATTGCAGCAGTAACATTTTCCTTTCTGTGAAGTTCTAAATTTAGTTATGACCTACTTAGTAATGCTTTTGAAAAGGGATATTGTATCCATGGTAAATTAATTGCATACCTAAACAGAGATAGCTCAGCTTTGCCTGTCAGGCTTGTAATTGACATCTAGTAGACTTCTGCACATGTAAAATTGAATTCAAGTAAAGTCATGTACACTTTCTAGTTCTTAATATTTATCTTTCTGAATAATAATTTAAAGCAATATTTGTTAAAGTTTTCTTGCACTATCACAATTGCTTTTTAGTTATTTCTTAAGAAGCATGTTCGTAGTAGAGACAAAAATCTGTGTAACAGGAAGAATAGCACCAAGTCTCTGGGTTGTTTTTTATTTTTGCAGATGGGCATTCTAGTAGCCATTGCCTTCCATGTTGTTTACCTAATCAGCACATTTTGTCTGAATACTTGAACATTTTAATAGTAACACAGTTATAGAAACAGAAAGGAAACTTACAAAGAGTAATCTTTTAGTTCAGTTTCAACATCATGAGCACTTTTTCTAGCAATGATTTTTGAATTGTCTAAGTTTGATAGTGTTTTGTTGTTGTGTTTTTATTTGGTTTTATTTGTGCTTTTGATTTGCAGAAGTTAGTAACTGCAGCTCACCTACTGCACCAAAATTCTCGATTTTAGGAGCCCAGCTTTAGTCACTTAAACATACTTCTAAGTAAAATAAAACAAAAAAAACCAAAACTATACTTTTGACCTATAATAATAGCTCAATAACTTCGTCAAGGAAAGCTCTAATATATGCAGTGATGGTTTATGGAAGGGTGTGGCAATTTTTGAATTTATATTGTGTGTGATGTTCAAATAAAGTGATATCTACATTCATGTGATTTATTGGTCAGCATGACCATTAATTATTTAATAGAAATGGATTAAACTTTGATTTCCTTTTTTTTAAATCATGTTGCATTTGATTCCTGATCAAATTCCCTCAAAAAGAACTCTTAATTCTTGAATTTTGAATTTTATCATGAGATTGTAAAGTTAGAGGCAATTGAAACATTGTTCCTTATTTTTTTTTGGCTGGGGGGGTATCAGGGATCAAACTTAGGAGTTCGATCGCCTGCTGGCATGCGCAGCAGGCAGCAAAACCACTGAGCTAAATCCCCTGCCCAATTGTTCTTTATTTATAAACAGCTTGAAATAAATATTTGTTTGTACTTTAATACCAAACTTAAACCAAGCACTCATTTCGAAGTAGATTACATGATCATGATTCATCTTTTTAACTTTGTGAAATTCTAAAGGAATCAAATAATTCATGATGATTTAAATTTTCTGCAGATTGATTTTTTTAAAACAGTATTTCTTTCCTACGAATATTGTCATTCCCCCCTCCCCATCTCTCTGCATTACAGTGTTCATTGTCATTGACCAAAGCAGCAAACTTAACTTGAATTCACTTAGGATCGCAGGAATCAGGGGAAAGTGATTTTAAAACTGGTTTCTCCTGCACAATTTTAAGAAAAGGGACCAAAAGTTATTTTAGCTTCCTCAACAGATTGCATGTTGCGTATTAGGATAATAAATTAATATTAAATGCGAAAAAAATAGAAAATCTAGTTGTGTTAATCAGTGAAGCTAAGTGAAGACCTAGGTGTGTTGCCTCTGAACTGTAATATTTGCATATTGTCTTCAATGTGTTTATAATTACAGTATTTTTATATTTCCAAAATTATAAGGTCTTAATGGCACTTACAAAAGTGAGATCAAAAACATTAAGCATTTTGATTAGCATTCTTGCAAGGAAATAAAATACACTAGAATTAAAGTCAGAATCAGCCCGCTGCAGACAGGCAGGTCTGTGCATGCCCTACCGAGCTCCTGAGTTACCAGGAAGACACCGAATCACCCCACTGCAGACAGGCAGGTCTGCCCACACCCTACCAAGGTCCTGAGTCACGCGGAAGACACCGAATCACCCCACTGC